AGTAGCTATCTACAAAAGTCTGTAGGTCAAATCATAATGATCTTGAAATAAATAAATAGCCTCCAGAATGAAGCAAGCTATTGTTCCGTAAGTTAAATACATGCTTTTGAAATCTCTTCAGAAAATATGTGTAAAGCCTGGCATTCCCACCTAAATACATTCTAATTACCTAGAAGGTCATTAGAAAGTATTTAGTTTTGTAGCTTAGATCATCAGATATGCAAATACCTATACTGAACGTATGGTTCAAATGGTATTTCAGAAATCGAGCATTTCAGGCCTTGTATGAACCCACAATACTGTATTTGGATTTTTTTTTAAATGCCTACTGAGAAGAGCACCTAGGTCATTCCTGTCACCTGAGAAGTAATCAGCACTTTACCCTCCTTGATGAACCCTGTAATAAACTGTTTGTTTATTGAAAGTGGATTTTTTTTTTATTAAAATGCCTACCTGTTGTACTTGCAGCATAAATAATTTGTTTGAATCATCAGGTGAGTGCTGTTAAGTTATAGTGAGCGAGGAAAATTGCAAAAACACAAATTAGGATCCCTGTCCTTAAGTGTATTTCAGTTTGCATTTTGATAGCAGTTTAGAAATGTTATCGCCTGTTTTGTCACAGACATAATTCACATCTTTCTTCAGGCACTGTAAACAAGAGAAATGGTTTAATGGCTCCATAAAAGGCACTCTGTGCTGATAGCTGAGATTAGACCCTTTAGTAATGGATTTTTGTGTGCTGGGGGATGGGGAGGGCTTGGCAGAGGTAAATGTACTGGTAAAGAATCTTGGAGAGACTGATGTATCTGAAGTGCCTGCTGCATTTCTGTGTGTATTGGGAGATAGATTTAAAAGTGTGTCAGTGTTGGCTTTATCAGTAGAGGGGCCTTTTCTTGATTTTGAAATTTTACCAAGTGCTACTTGGGTCACCCCAGTCAGGCTAGCATCTGGAGTTGTAGTGGTATTAATTTAAATGTTTTTACATCTTCTGCCTTTTCATCTTGCTATTAAGAAAATCAAATCCCCTCTATTTAAATGTGTTCAAGAAATCTGTCTAAGCTAACATCGCATATTAACAGTTTTGCCTCAGTATATCATAAAAATGAGTTACTTTATTTACTATATCAGGTTTAGAGGGTGATTTGAGAGCATAAATGCTCAGAAAAAGCAGTTCAGAAGCATGCAGCAGAAATGTTTTGGGTGTGACTTACTGTGACTTTTCTGGTTACTTTCTTTTCTCTGCAGATACATAAAGTCCTTGAACTTAGTACATGTAAATGTAGTATCACTTACGAGACATCAGAGTTCACTAGCACAAGTAAGGTTGCTGCTGTCAGTTGATTTTATACCACATAATAAATGCTCTGGCCTTAAAAGTGTTGATCGTAACACATCTTTGTCTCTTTGGTCAGTGGAGTCAAAATTGCCTGCCCTTAACCAGTATCACTGAATTACCAGTAATATTTCATACCTTTTAAAAATATGCTTAAATTAATTTTCTTCAGAAAATAGATTTTATTTTGTCTTGGAGGCAGGAAAATGAAATTTGAAAATTATGACTTTTGCTCAAAGCAGAAATGATTTGAAATTTCATGTGAAACATTCCTTGTTTCTTCTTTGCCTTGGACAGTCATTTCTTGAATTGAAAAATATTTTAAACTATTGCTTTTATATTTGATGCAGTGCATTTCTGGAGCTTTCTCAAAAGAAATGATTCAGTTCTATCTGTTTCTCGGGCTGGAAAATATACAAAACACTCCCTTCTGGAACAAAATGTTTCTTCCTTTAAATTCAGAGTTCTTAATAAAATTGTTCTTTGTATTTAAACTGGGTGTCATGAGCAAAATGTTTAGGATTAGGATGTTGACAGCAAAGGAGAACAGCACTTCAGAATGAGGGGTAGCAGATTTCACCCTGTATTTTTGCGTGTTCTGTGTGAGTTTACTTTGTGGGGACATTATTATGGTTTTGTATAAAATCTAGGTCTGTACAATAGCACTTTATGTGTAACACGTGAGCCATCTTACTCTGCCGATACAGATATATTTATGCACAGAGAATATGCATACAGGAAAGTATTATACCTCAATCAATTTGCTACAGATGGCAGCAGTCCTTCTGCTTGTCTCATATTTGCATGTTGGCTTCACAGAGGCTCCAGACAGGGTCTGTGGATTGAGTCCGTTCTGATACTGATATGCCTGATTTTCCCCAGTAGCTGAGATGAGGTGTTGAAGACATCCATCTGAATATACATTGTAAGATTGTTTGTCTTTCAAGTTTGGAAGTAGTTACCTGTAAGTAATCACTCGGGATGAAATCTTGGCCCTTGGTCACTTCTTAATAAGATCATTATTAAGGCAGAGTGCCCGTTACTTTAATAGGGTTGAGACTGTTCTGGGGTTAAGTAAAGTGAATTTGCCATCAGGAAGAAAAAAGCGGTGGGGAGCTGGTTGTTTGAAATGTCATTTTGTTAATTTGGATGTGTTGGTAGCTTGGTATGCTGCACTAAAATTAGATTGTATAAATAAGCAACCTTGCTCTCCTTAAAAGAAAATGGATTGAAAATATAAAATTGAGCTTAGCAAAATGGTGTATGTTTAAAATCTGTTTTAATAGGTGCAGTATGAGTGCACCTATGAAGAGTGACAGGTGGAGGGTTTCATTGATGATACGAGAACTGTTTTGAATATTTGAAATTTTAGTGTTGGAATAAGTCTGTCATCTTCAGCCACACTTAAAATGTGGTTTGAAAGGTCAAGTAGCCTTCGAGAAAGCCCCCCAAAAATGCAGGAAGTATTTTTCTCAGGCTTTTTTCCTTTCTACCCCTAAAAGTGTACACTTAAGGAGTTATAGATAAGGCTTAGCGTGGTGACTGTCTCAGGGGACTGCCCGAGGAAGGCTTTAAATTTTACAGCTACATTATCTTTCTGGCCCTAGTTAAGATAAAGATCTAATATAAAATCACTTTGGACTGTAATGCTTCCCCTAAATGAAATGAAGGTGTTAACCTACTTGATTTGATACACTTTACCCTAGCTTATAAAGCTGAGAGGAAGGTGAGGTAAACTTTAATTAAAACTACAGCACAGATGCCTTCTAGCACTGTGCCCTGTACCTTGCTAGGACTGTACAGTAAGCAAAATAAAATGTACCTCGCAGCCGAGGCAGCAGGCTGGAGCCGTGTTCACTGAAAGTAATTTAATTAGTGTTGATCATGACTCCAGATGATGGTGATTTGATAAGGAATAATTTAGTACTTAACAGCCTTTTACATGCACCAACTCCATGTGGGAAGGTAAAGCAAATTGCACAAAATGAATGTGCTGCTTTCACTTGTGCCTGTGCCAGTGAGCTGGAAAACTGCCTGTTAGCAGACGTTCAGGCTCTCAGCGCTGTGATGAAATACCCAGCCAGTTCTCCACACAGGGCTGTGGTGTGGGAGTCTCTGTACTCCCGTTATTTAAAAATAAATAAGGGAAGTAATTTTTCATAACAGATTAACTCTGAGGAAGTAGCAAAGTTAAAATGAAAAAAAATAAATTAAAAGATAGAGCAGCATGTGGCCTTTGTGCAAATACGTGATACTGGCTTTAAAAAAGTCTTGTGTTTTAATTCTGTGATTAAAGTCAAAGAGGTTGCCTGCTTTTGCATCTGAGCCACTGTCCTGGAGTTGTGGGGCCCATCACGTGCATTAAATGTGTGGCATGTGTTATCTGACCAAGACATGCAAGGAGAGTCAGCAGCAAAAATTCACTAGCAAACATGAAATGAACAACAGGATGTCAGCCTGCTTTGCAGTTATGGTGGAAAGCTGACTGGGTTGCATTGTTAAAATGTGAGAATCTTTATCCAAGAAGTCTGTATGGTCTTTTATTTTAGTGCAAATTCAGACCGTTTTGCTCAGAAAAAAGTTCTTTCCTTGTGACGTTCACTGCTTTTCATCTCTGTCTCTTAAGTTACTGTGCTGTGCCTCCTGTATTTATGTACCTATTTTCCTTTGTAGTCTTTCCAGGTAATTGACTATTAGTCATCAAATATAGTAGCTCGGTAGCAGTTGTAGAGACAATTCTTGTGAGTTTTGTGAAAATATGTGGCTAAATAACATAGTGCTATCTTGTGGATGTCTCAGCTGAAAGGCAATAGTAAAAGCTGGCATGTAATAGGATATGAGAGGACCCATTTGTGAAAATGTTTTCTGAATGTTGCCCAACTGTGGGAAAACCCATGGTGAGAATCTGGAATCTAGATCTTACTCACAGATTCTTACAAATCAGAGTTTGTTAGTTCTGATGCTGGCTTCTTAGACAGCATTTCATTTACCTCCCCCTCCCCATTAAACATATGCATATGTAGTATCAGAAAATAGTGTGTAACAGTCTTCCCTAAGTTCAGATGCAAGGGAAGGGGCATGATACTACTTAATGGTGTATAATAATGTCCTGCTTTTGTGCTGAGGTTCCCTATACAGGGACTGCTTGCATGTATGTGGATTTCCATGGAGGTATAAGTGTCCGTGCCGGGCTAGAGTGTGATGTTCAAACTATGGTGTCGTGGTGATAGCGTCAAAAATTAGTGATAAAATTGAAGCAATTTTTGTGGCACTCTTTGAAGTGAACTACGATTGCATTTATAGCTAAAAGCTACCTCACTAATATTACTTAGAAACATTTGGTGCTTGGGAAGTATTTTGCTTCTGACAACATTTACAGTAGTTAAGCCAAATATAAGTGGGCTGTTATTTTCCTGCTAATGAGATGGGATCCTGGCCATCATTCTATTAAACAATAAAAGTGTTAATAGCCAATGCAAAGGATCTCTGGTGTCTATTTTTCAATTGACACCCAAAGAAATACTTGAAATGTTTATTTCCTTTATTGTTTTTAGTATTACAGTGGTTTAATTAATCATGTGTTTAATTAGAAGTGCCTAGCTTACTTGAGAAAGCTCATTGTTAATATTGTACTTGGGTTTTAATTATATTTTCTTTCACTTTACAGTGGCTTTTCATGGTCTCCCTGTGAAAATCAAGAAGGAACCCCATAGCCCATGTTCAGAACTTGGCTCCACTTGCAGTCAAGAGCAACCATTCAAGTTCAGTTATGGGGAAAAGTGCCTGTACAATGTCAGGTAAAGCAATCAGGAGCATGTTTGCAGTGAGAGCTGCTGAGTTAAATAAGGACTGACTAAAGAGTAATAAAACCATAGTAGTGATCCTACAAAAGTTACCTCTTCAGCAGATAACAGACTGATGAGATAATGCATTTAGCTGATGAACACTGATGGAGTTGTTTACAATTGTATCAAACACATAACCATTTTAAAGCAGCATTTTTCATTAAAATGCATATTCTCCATTCCTTCTCCATGGGAGATGGTGAGAGTTTAAAAACACAGGGTGCAAGCTTGAAGTAGAAGGAAGGGCTGTCTTGTTTTCTGTGAGTTGGGTTGAAAGTACTTTCAAAATGCATTGCACACATTGGGAAAGAGAGAGATCTGTGTAACAGGCAGGAGATTGACAGGTCTGAGCAATGCATTAGGTATTCAACAAGTTTTGCAGATGTTATCTGTGTGTGTTTGTGGGTGATTACAATTTAAAATACTATTTCATTAGGCTTTGCATCTTTGTTACCTATTCAAAAGCAAGTTATCTTCTTTTATAGGGATAGATAATAAAAGCTTTATTTATTTGTGGGTAGTGGAGGGGCTTGATATCACTGCATTCTTTATTGACTTTCTTTTGGTTTGCACTTACGTGTCACTCCTTCCTTTAGTGTCAGCAGTGAAGGATTTCTTATTGGCATTTCAGTCTACTTTAGGATCTTTTATCTAGCTTGTGAGTTCTTAGTCTCATTAATGTGCTACCGAAGCTGTTAGCACTTAAAGCATTTACATTTAACTTTTTGGCTATAAAAGGAGAAAACAGAAAAAAAGGCTGGTCACAGAGGAGTAATTTTGATTTCAAAAATTAAAATGCATACATTGATAGATTTGATGGGTGCTAGGGTATGTGATATAAGCAAGTACGCAAGTTCATGCATGGTGTCTGCCTAAGATCTGCATTTTTCCTGTTTAGAAGGAGGGATGATCAAAGTGTGCTCAAGATTTTTCCTGATTCAGGACACCTTTGAAAATAGCATCTATATATTTGTGGTACCAGCACTTTATTTTGGGGGGGGGGGGGAGCGAGGGGGAGAGGGACCCTGTCAGGAGAGGCTGCTGTCATCCTAGTGTGGTTAGCTAAGCCAACATACCATTGTTATTCCTTCCCTCTAGCTGTATTGTTTTACTGTCTCACTTTGTGGTTTGTGCAAGCTCTGAAAAAGAGTCTTGACAGGCACTGCTGGCTGTTCATGCTCTAGTCCAGGTGCTTCTACTTTTATGTATTTTGTATACCTCCTGTTAGAATGTCACTGTAAGACTGAATAGTTGAATAGTTTAAAAATACATATCTGTGCCCCAGAGAAGAAAATGCTGCGTTGAACCACTTGCCTCTAACATGTTTTTTTCTGTGCTCTTCTTAACGTAAAATAGAGAATTCCTCTGCCCCAGTCTGATAAATGAAAAGCTTATGTGACTTTTGTTTGTTTTTTCTCACTGTAGATGCTACTTTTTTTTTTCCTTCAAAGAAAATAACCTGACCTTTTTCCCCTTTGCCTTACTGATAGTGCCTATGATCAGAAGCCACAAGTGGGAATGAGGCCCTCCAACCCACCGACGCCATCCAGCACTCCTGTGTCACCACTGCACCATGCCTCCCCAAACTCAGCTCAGACTCCTAAACCTGACCGGGTTTTCCCTACCCATCTCCCTCCATCCCAGTCCATTCAAGATAACAGCTTCCCTATGGACCACAGGTAAAACACAAAACACTTGAGGGATCTGTACAGAAAATGTTTCAGTTGTGGGTGCAAGTCTTTTATATAGGGTAGCACTGTCTTCCTGCCCACAGCTATTCCCTTTTGGTTTGGGGGACCAAAGTGAAAACCAGCAAATTTCAGGTTGTCAGAAATATGTGTGTTTTATGAAAGACTGGCACCCGCTTTAGTGCATTTCAATAGGAGTTCATATTGGCAGTGGCAGTTTTAATGACCTCCTGCTTCTGTCTGGTGAGGGTGGTTACAGGGCGCTAGATAATCTCATCTAGGTTCCCTTTCTCATGTTTATGGTTTTCCATGATTCCCAAAGATTAGGCTGGATGGTCTTTCTAGGTCCCTTCCAACTTGGGCTGTTCTATGATTCTGTGATTCACTTGAGGCTACTAAGCCCTACAAGGTAATGAAGTCACAAGCAGGCATGATACTGGATAGAAATATCTGTCCTTTTGCTAAGCAATTCACCTATCTAAGAAAGGGATAAGTGTCCATGTTACGTTACTGCTTCAGAATATTCTCTGGAAGGGTGGATCATTTTTCCAACCCCATTTGAAATGTAGTATTTCAGACAAACTGAGATGCCAACATAAACTGTGCTTACATAACATTAGTCAGAGTAAAAACCACAAGAGCTAGAGACTAGAATTAAAGTTTAAACTGTCCTTAAGTCACCCTGTTTTGTTTTGATATGTTAGAAATCCCCAGACTACTGACTGACTGCCTTAGCTCAGTTGTGCAACAGATACACTCAGTGGATTTCCCTGATTTTTGAGATCAAGCACTTGCTTGTGGAATTCTGTTTATCCTCACCTTTATCACATGAGCCTGTTTATGTGTGCTCTGTTGTGTGGTTGCTCTGAGCATGTAAAATTTTAGCTGTATATAAAGAGATACATATGTTCAGAATCTTGGCTTAGCTTTTGAACATCAGCAAATTAAGAAGCACCTGGAAAGATAACCACAGTTGTTGGCAGTGTGATTTGCAAGCTTCTGCTTTAGAAAGGGCCGTTATTTCCAGGGATTTGTGCAGATCACTTCTGAAGGGGGTTTCTGAGGTTTATGTTGCTGTTTTATGCTCTGCTGAAATAGCTTTAAATACCACCCAAGGTTTTCTATAAGCCGTTTCGGCAGTGAAGAAACACTGGATTGTCCCCTTCAGCTGCAGTAGTCACCATCTTTCCCCCCTCTCCCTCCCTGCTGTGGACTGTGGTCTAAGCACGCAGGCCCCCAGTTGGAGTGAGGCAGCAGTTTTGATTTCAGGATAGTGGATAAACGTGTATCTGTATGTACACCAAAGTCAAGTTATCAGCAGACTAAAATCTCCAGAAGCTAAATGGCTTCTGTGCAGAGAGTAGTGGTAAGATTTATCAGATGAAAAAGTCTTCTGTTTTGGAGCAATTTGTCAAGAGAGTACTGAAGGTACATGTCAGCCTTAATGTGAGTATTTATAGAGATTTGCATGCATCTTAGTATACTTTTCTGTACACATAAGACTTGCTCTGCACAAGCTTTGTAAGCTCTTTACATGATCCCTCTCACCTCCATGTTTGGTGTTCATGTTCCTTAGGGCATTTTGCAGTAATGTTTCCCCTCTGTAAAAGAACATCATGTGTTCAAGTCAAAATAGGTGACTCAAGCCAAAAAAAAAAAAAAAAATTTTTCTCCTTTTTTTAATGAAAGGAACAATTATAAGACATTTTTTCCTCTTTTTCTTATTTATTTCAAATCTTCTCACTCCCAGCTTGAAGCAAATGTGTACTTCATATTTTTTGTGAAATTCAAATCTTCATGATTTTTAAGGTGATATGCTACTACAATGAGTATATTTAGAAAATGTCACTGAAACAAGGGACCTACCTATGTGAGTTCATATATAAATCTGTAACTCAGGGCATATTTCTTCAGAACATGCATTGGTGGCACAAGATAGCATTAGTATCTAGAACATACAGCCCATACGTCTTCATACAGGGCATGAATATATGAACGATAAGTGGTCCTAACAAGTACCAACAGGAATCAAATCCACTTGTATAAACAAATGGCTTGATTCCATACAAAGCTTCCAGTACAACAAGTATTATTAACTTCCTTTGAGGCTTTGTGAGTGAGCCTGTTTCTTATTTTAACTTCAAGTTGCAATTTTCTGATTCACTCCTTGACAGTTCTTAATGATAATTTCTGCTTCTTTTTTTGGCTAATGAAAAAAGGAAAAAAGGGAAATGAATGCAGTGCCAGTCAGCTTAACTGTTTCATAATACATTTGAGTTTCTGAGTTTATTTTCTGCAGGTGTAGGTGGAATTGCAAAACCCAATGCTACAGCGCAGTACTCTTTCTACTGCAAAATATTACATTACAGCAGCATTAAAAAAAAAAACATACATTGTCTCCACTACTACATTGTTAATAGTTTCTGTAGCTCCCACGGTATTTATAATTAAGCAATGATAGTAATTATTTGTCAGACAAAGTTCAGAGCAGTATTATGACAGATGTTAGTAGAGTTAGTAGAGTTTAAATTGTTTCAGAAACACATAGTACATATGTAGTATGAGTTGGTAGTCAAGGATTGTATTGCCTGTGCAGTCAAACCTCTGCATTCTTCTTCACTCACCCAGTTTTCTCCAAGGGAATATCTGCTTTTGCTTGTGTGAACCAAACTTTTTTTCAGATCCAGAGTACAGGGAGCTGAAGAATGATCAGTTCACTTGCAGAGAAAGGCACAGGGTTGAAGTGTGTGTTTGTTTGTTGGTTTGTTGTTTTTTTTTTTTGTTTGTTTGTTTGTTTGTTTTAAAGTGTGTCTTGTCCATGATGAGTAATAGCAGGACTAGTAGGCAATTTGCTGAAAGAAAGTTGCATCTGCTGTGATCTAGTGCAGACAAAGTATTACTGCAGTGGGGGTTACCATTACTGTGGTAATCTGCAGGAGATGACAGGAGGTCTTTGTGCTGTTGATAAGGGCATGGTGGAAAAGTAGCATCCTTGCATTCTTTATGCTTCTGAACCTGCAGCTATCCAAGTAATTACATTCAGGCCTTTTAGTTCAGGTAGGTATGTCTTGTGGAAGAAAAAACAAGCATAATTTCTTGAGTAGTGTTGCATGTAAATGAAGTTAATTTAAAAGTGAATTATCACATTTTATGTCTACTGAAGAGCATTTGGGAGTAGTGAGTGGCAGCATGGCTTGTATGGATGACTTCTTTCATTTAGAAATGACCAAGGGAACAAATTAAGGCAGGAGGGGAATTATTAGGCATTGTTTCTCTTTGCAAAAGTTTGCAGCCTCTCCTTTATGTTGGGTGCTTACATTCCTTTCCCATTAGAGCTGGAATGCAGTGCCAGCCTTGCAGGTAGATCTCCCACAGCACTATCCCTGAGAGGACAGAACTGTGGACTTTCACCCTGGAATGATTCCAGGTGTTATGGCAGACAGTGCTCTTTATTCAGAATGTTTGTTGTGGTCAGAATGGTTTTTGTGTAACAGTAAGAATGGTAATAGTAAGTTAGAGCAGAAGCAATATGTTGCTAATGCTTGTGAGAGAGCAAAAACTCTGCCCAAGCCTCCTTTGTCTTACTATGGTCCGATGTCAGTCTTTCTGTTGATTTGAATCTGATCTGAACCTGTTTGCCTCTTCTGTTGAGAGGAGATACTGAAAGCCAAACAGATGGTGGTGGGGACAGGTCTTGGAGCTGGTGTTAATCGGTGGGCTTTTTTGTTTGTTTGCTTGTTGCTAAATGATCCTGATGGGAGCAATTGGAATGTCGTAAGCAGAATGTTTGCTACTGAAAAAGTGATACAAGTACTAACCATGACCTGTGATGATCTTTGGGAAATGGAATGTCACTCAAGCCCTTTACATGACCTCTCCTCTAACTTCTGTCCTAGATTTCGCCGCCAGCTCTCTGAACCTTGCAATTCTTTCCCACCTTTGCCTGCAATGCCAAGGGAAGGACGTCCAATATATCAGCGCCAGATGTCTGAGCCAAACATCCCCTTCCCACCCCAAGGTTTTAAGCAGGAGTACCATGATCCAGTTTATGAACACAACGCTATGGTTGGCAGTGCAGCCAGTCAAAATTTTCCCCCTCCTCTGATGATTAAACAGGAACCTAGAGATTTTGCATATGATTCAGGTAGGTGAGACTCTCCTTTATTTCTGCTTAGTAAAGTAGTATATGAATCTAAGCCAGTGCTATTGGTATTTTGATTGTACAAATTGAAACTTGCTTTTTTGGCTTCTAAGTCTTCAGAGTAAATTAAGTCTGAGTTTACACAATAGTAAGATTGCTACATGGTACAGTGTGACTTGTGCCGCCATTGCTTGCTCTGCAGAGGATTTCATTTTCCATAACTCTCTGTCCAAAAAGCGCGCAGGTTAAGAAAACCAGAGAAGAAAAAATCATGAGTACAAAACTGAGCTTTGCTTAAGTGGGGGCTTGTTCTGTACTCTCTCGTCTGTGACCTCTGAATTTGTGTGCTCCATTTTTACAAGCTCTTTCATTTGTCTGCCAGAAATAGAGGACTCTTTCTCTTCTTGCTTGCACTACTTTAAATCAGGAGTAACTCCGCTGAAGTGGGGTTTATACAGCTATAAAACCAATGAGGGAGAAGAATCAGCCAAATTGGTGTCAGCTTCTCAGTTTGTGCATACTGCTGTGTTTTGTGGAGGTACATAATCTGTGATGCCAGGTTGCTGATGTAGAGAATACGCTGTTGCTGTTAATAATGTTTATTATGATTGTGGCAACTGGAATCGAGCCTTATTGCTCTATGGACAGTATAAAGCAGAGGAGGCAGTGGCAGAGCCTGCTCTTAATAGCTTCTGGTCAAAATAGAAAAGATAAGTGATAGAAAGGATAAAAGCATAAATCAAGGGAATAACATTGTAAATGTTTGCCACAATTTAAACATAATGTTGATATTATACTTGGGAAAAGAGAAAGAGAATTAGGGAAGACCAAAAGAAGTTTAGTAACGAGTACCAAGTAACAAGGAGAAGAAAGCTGGAATGGTGGCATGGATTATAACAGCATGGAGTGGGCTAGGTGGGGTAAACCGTCGATCATTATGGAGCAAAGAAAATGCAGTCAAAACATGTTTTTCAGTTTTGGTGTAAGTGATTTCTGCAGCATCTGTTCAGTCTTTACCTCTTTCCTGCTCTGTGTAAGTTGTACAGTTGAAAGGGAGGGATCGCTGTGAGTCCTTACTGTGCTTCTGGAGGAGGGTACCTTACTTTTGTACACTTGTATGCTGAGTTGGGTAGGGAGAAGGGGTGGTACTGTTTCACTTCAGTCTGACTCTTCCTCTGGGTTTGCAGTACCTGCAGTGCTTTCCTGCTGGTTCAGTCTCTGCCTAGATGTTTTTGCCATTAATTTGCCAAAGGCAAATGGTAGCTGAGTTGAGGTCTCCGTTGAAAGTTTAGCCGGTGATAGACTATCTTGCAATTTGATAAAGCTAGAACTGGCTTTTGTTGTCTTTTCTGTAGCTAACCTAGCATTTTCTATGTAGTGGGCTGTTTTGTGGTATCGTTAATATAAAGTTCTGGTTTTAGAGCTGATTTCTATGTTAGAACAGGGGAATTCGGAAAGTAGAGCTGCTTTCTCCTGTCTTATTCTTGATAAGCAAAGAACCAATCTTTAGGCAATTTGAGTTAGGCCAATACACGGAGGGGCTTGGGTGAGATATTTTTCCAAGCTGAAATATAAGACAATATGAAAATGAGTTCAGATTACAAGGATCAGATCTAGACCTCCACCCGTTTATTGATGAAGGTTCTGAAATACATGTCTTTGGCAGTTGTGTTGTCTTTAATCTTACAGAACAGCATGGGAGAAACTGTCTGCCTAGTTAATCTGGCAATAGATAATAAATAGGGGACTGCAGCTTCAGGCACTGCCAGTCTCTTGCAACCTTCACTAGCACTGTTACTTATCCTGCTAAATTAAAGGGTGAAAAAAGGCCCTTTTGTAAGCCTGCTTCATATTCGGCTAGGAAGTGGGATCTTCTTCTTGCATACTATTTCTTTAAGTCTGGGTTGCCTGGTTCATCTTTCTTTGGGATATTTTTTATGGAAAAATAGGAAATTTTATTCCCAAAGGAAGATGTGCAAACTTGTATCCAGTCCTGTCATATCTTTCTTTTTCCCTTTTTTTTTATGTGCCAGCAAGATCAGCATTCCACTTTATAGTAATGATGTTCAAGTAAAATGGTTGTTTCTTTTGTAGATGAATAATTAGTTTTTAAAAATGTAATAGCTGTGTAACCAGTGGTCATGAAAAATTAATCTGTTGGTATCAGGAAGTACTTTTATTGGCCTCAGAATATCTGCATTTAAGTTGACACATCTGTACACTCCATAAATTGCAGTCAACAACTGTGGTCTGTTGATATTTTGTTTTGTTACCATCTGTTCTCTAGAAACCATCATTTTCCATCTTTGCTAAGAGTATGTTAAATAACCCCTTAGGAAACATAATGTATTTGTCACTGAATCATTGATTTCATTTTTCACCTGTGGATGTTCAGGGAAGGAGGAATGCCAGAGTTAAAAGTCTTTTTTTGCATGGTATTTTATTGCAGCTCAACTAAGAATATAGAAACATATTTAAAAAGTTCATTGCAATACACCAAGATGTTCCTTTTGGGATGTTTCTGGAAGAGCCTCATAAAAGTTCATTGCTTTTGTGCACTATACTTTTATACTTTGTGGGAAGCTGGTGAATGAAAAACATTATTATGGGATGATTATAACTCTATTAAAACATGACATTAATTATGACATGGGAAATGGCAGATCAATTAGTTGTAATTGTAATTGCAGGTATGCAATTTCTATTGCAGAATGTTTGAGATAATGGAAAAAGAAAAATGTCAACAGAGTAGAAGCTCCTCCTTACACATCCACACTTCTAGAAGTCACAGGGCATCATACATGTTCAATCAGACTTTGTTTTCTGCCATGTACTCTTTTTTTTTTTTTTTTTTTTTTCTTCCCCAGGGCTGCCAGTTGTATGTATTTAGTACTTGATGCTGTATCTGGCAACTTTGAGCACAAAGATGCAGCCAGAGACATGGAGTGCTTTAAGATTTTGCATCATTAATGAGGCTTCCCAAGATCTTTGTTTAGAAGGGCTAATAGTGGCCATTTTTGTACAGTTAGCACTTCTAGAATTCAATTCATGTACTCAGGTACTTAAACAAAAAGGCCAAACTTGAGATACCCCATCTATTCTGGGCTTTATTTTTATGCAGGTTCTTTTCAGGCTTGGTCTTCCCTTCTTAATGTAGTGCATTTGAGATAGACTAAGGTAGGACTCTAGCTATGCACGTATCAATTAATATTAAAGATCTAGTTTTAAAATGACATCTTAAATTATTGAGTTTATATCATATTTTAATTTGACCAGTTGAAATAGTTATTTTGGTTGGAAAGTTCTTTAGTGAGCATGTCTTTGGGGACTTCAAAATTTGTCACACAGGGGTGTTAGAGGGAAGTAGAGGAAGAATTGTTGCTTGCATATACTTATTACTGGTTGCCAGAAATCTGTCTGTTGAAATCCAGATCTCAACAGATAATGCCTCTAACCTGCTCAGTCATTCATGAGCAGGATAGAGGCATTAGCAGGGTTTTTCTCACAGTTGTATTTCAGGGTAGCCTCACGGTTAATATGCTTGAATGGACCTTAGAAAATTTGAATTCTGTCTGTATCACTTCCAAAGTTAGTTAACTTCCAAAATACTAGTTGCATCACTTAAAGAATTAATTATCCAAACAGGATTATTAGTGTCTTGCTTTCTGAGTTGTTCATCCCTTAAATTCCTGAGGCTTCACAAGCAATAAATACCTTGCGTTGGCATGTGAGAATGGATGGGGAACTGCCCCTCTGTTAAAAGAGATGAGCGGAGGCAGAGAGATACATCAGAGATATATATACCTGTTTATTTTGGGTACCCAGTTAGGACTGGATAATTTCTGAAGAACATTATGTATTACATATGTTCAAAGCTCAGCTCCTAAGGACTTTATTTGAAGATTAGGGTCCCTGTGTAAGCACTGCAAAAATAAGAAGTACATAATAGGAAAAATTGGCAGAAGCATTGTGACTGCTTTGGAAAACTTTGTTAGAGATGGAATGGGCTTTGTTGGGGCCTAAAATTGACCATTCAGCTGTATTAATCTTCAGGTCATCTTTTCCTTTCTTCAAGTGTTCTGCCTCATTAGGTACACAACTTCCAGCCTCTGTAACAAATGAAGCAGGTGCTCCACCTGCAAAGCTGTTTACAACATGGTGCTCTCTTCCCCAAACAGTTCTGACCTGTGCGCTCAAGAGACAAGAGTGCCAAAGCAAAAGGCTGTATCATAATTCATTTGCAACAAAGGGGTTGTATCAAAGTTGCACAGGAAGTTGTAATAATGACACTTCTTAACCCTTCCTGAGTTTGCTTTTACAGGTGTAGGATGTTGTTGGCATTCTGCCATCCATGTTATAAATGTTTATTTACCAAATGACTGGGAACAGAATAAAAAGCAAGACTGCTTTCAAATTCCTAATGTGGTTTTTGAAAAGAAAATCACTGAGAGTTAATGTGGAAAACGATCCATAGTAGTACCTTCTTCCCTAGAAATTGGCTCACATGTCCTTAAATTTATGAAGTTTCAGAACAGTGTGAGAGAATGTTTAAATTAAGATTTCAAGGGAAAAAAAAATTCTTGGGAGTACATTTATTTGCAGATTGCCTTGGTTTTTTTTCCTTTCCTTTTTTTAAACAACAATTTGATATTCCATTATACTTCTTGGAAGCAAGGTTTACACATTTGAAGGTGGTAATATGAAGGGAAAAAAAGGAAATCTTATCTGTCATCATCAGTGCAGGATTGCTTTTTCCAGGATATTCTCTAGTGCATTGACCAGTGCAGTATTTAAAGGCACAACTCATGGTGCTTCTACTGCTATCTTTAATTATATTAGCTAATTTTTACAGTGCTTTGAAAATATGCTAAGTATTATTACTACAGTTATTCCCCTGGAAGATTATTTCACAGACTAATAGACTTCACAGTTAAGAAATATTTCTTGATCGTAAGCCTAAATTTTCCCTTTGATCAGTTCCATTCCCTTGCTCATAGCTACAC